AATTCCCAGCGGGAATCACCGGGAGAATCACCGGGAATTCCCAGCGGGAATCACCGGGAAAACACGGCAGGAATCACCGGGAGAATCACCGGGAATCACCGGGGGAAAACACAGCGGGAATCCCGGCGGGATGGACAGCATCAGCCGCTCCCGAGGGCGGAATTCCCAGCGGGAATAACGGGAATTCCCAGCGGGAATCACCGGGAAAAACGGGAAAACACGGCAGGAATCACCGGGGGAATCACCGGGAATCACCGGGGGAGAACACAGCGGGAATTCAGTCCAAGGAACGGGAGAGTGCTGGGGCGGGATGGACAGCATCAGCCGCTCCTGTGCGGGAATTCCCAGCCGGAATAACGGGAATTCCCAGCGGGAATAACGGGAATTCCCAGCCGGAATAACGGGAATTCCCAGCGGGAATAACGGGAATTCAGGGGACTGCGGACACCGAGCGGCTGCTCCGGGGTTTGGGAGTGTCCCAGGAAAGGCGGGAGCAGGATGGGAATGGGATGGGATTGGGAATCCGTGAATCCCATCCCAAGGGATTCCGGGATCCAGGAGGCTCAGGATCCATCCCAAGGGATTTTTATGGAATTCTGGGATAGGGAGACCCTTCCTGGAGTCCCCAGTTCCCAGGGAATTCCCAAAATTCCTTCCCGGAGAGGAGTTGGGATGGGGCTGGATCCGACCCCAGGCTGGGAATGGAGGGAATTCCCTGGGAAAGTGGGGAGGGATTTGGGAAGGAATTCCCGGCTGGGCTGGAATTCCCTGAAAATCCCTGGGAGCGTCCAAGGAAAGGTTGGAGCAGCCTGGGCTGGAGGGGTTGGAACGGGACGGGATCGGAAATCCATGGATCCCATCCCAAAGCATTCCCGGATCCCGTGATGGGAACAATCCCGGGAGTGAAATCGGGATCGGCACCGAGATCCCCGGGAGCTTCCCCATGGAAGCGGGATGGGAACATTCCAGGCAGGATCCATCCATGGAAAAGCACTTCTGGTATCCCAAATCCAAATCCCAAATTTCAAACCTCAAATCCCAAATCCTCCATCCCAAATCCCAAATCCCAAAACCCACACCCCAAATTTCAAATCCCTAACTTCAAATCCCATTCCTGATCCCCTTCCCAATCCCATTCCTGGCCCAATTCCCGGCCCCATTCCCATTCCCAATCCCAAACCCATTCCTGATCCCCTTCATGATCCTATTCCCAGCCCCATTCCTGTTCCTCTTTCCATTCCCATTCCCATTCCCAAACCCATTCCCACTATTCCCACTATTCCCACTATTCCCATTATTCCCATTATTCCCATTATTCCCATTATTCCCATCCCCATTATTCCCATCCCCACCCCCATCATTCCCATTCCCATTCCCAAACCCATTCCCAGTCCCACTCCTGATCCCATTCCCCATTCCCATTCTTCCCATTCTTCCCATTATTCCCATTATTCCCATTCTTCC